ACACCAACTGAAATATTCATGAAAATATTTCAAGAGCCTTCAGAAAGATAAATGTTCCTGGAATCAGCGAGAGCTAATGATGTCACACATCCCACTACAACCATTTTGCACGTTTTCCACTGATTCCAACTAAAAATTAGTCACTTTGACTTGTCAATTTGCTTCTTTGACTCTTTATAATATCTTCCTCTATTATTTTATGCTGGGCTTATTTGTGTATACAAGCTCAATTTTAGTAAGCTAGCAGTTGGTAGCATTAGCTTACCTATGCATGTGCTCTAGCTTAGTTCCTGGTATTGATTCAGATAGTTCAAATCAATTTGATTTAGATTAGCTAGGCCCCGTTTGATTCTGGTTTCAGTTTGATTTACTGTTCGTTTCAGTTAAAGAAATCTCGCAGTACCAACTACCATAGGCGGTTTTAGGCAACTTTACCAAGTGGGGCCAGTGTTTTTCATAGGGGCAGTGAACAAAAAAAAAAAACAAACAAAAAAAAAAAACACAAGGCAATAGTGCATCATTTAGTATATCAAATGAACCACAAAGCTAAAGTTTCAGACTATGGAATTCATAGAAGAAAACTATGATCCTTTCTTAATCCCTTAGTTTTCTAAATGATTGTTAAAATTTTAAATTAAAAGCTTTAATTGTTCTAGCAGAATCAGTCTGTTATGGTCTCTCTCTCTGATAGCACCTATCTTCATAAGACGGGGTCTTCAAAGTTTTCCAGGCTAAGGACCCAAACTGACGAGGTGGAGCTGGGACCCCATAACTATATATTGTATTAAATTGTGTTATATCAAACTGGTCCTATATTAACTCTATTACATATAATGTAAAAAAAAAAAAAAAAAGTAATTTCCACCTGGGATTATTAAAGTATTTCTGATTCTGATTCCTGGTTGATGGGACAGGTGTTGTAAATTAAACGGTTGAAAGAGCTCCTGTGTGCATTGATGACTGAAAGACATCATCTGCCTCCATTTGGCTGTTTACTACAGAGTGTTGAATTCATGGTAATGTGGATTTGAAGACATTTCATTTTGTGGAAAAAAAAAAAAAATATTGGGGGAATATAAAAAACAAAACAAACAAAAAAGTCTGATCAACCAAAAGTTTTGTGACCCCTATGCAGTACCTCTGTGGACCCCCTAGGGGTCACCGACCCCCTTGAAGACCTGTGTCATAAGTAATAGATTCAATGTTATTTTTTTTAGTATAGCGGCCCATACCACTCCTACTGGCCCTGCTGACCCCTGTCTCAGCAGAACTACCAACCTTATTTTGAGTGTCAGGTCATCTGGTTTACATGCGGGGTGTATCTGAGACGGCATTGAGGAGCGATGAGAGGTCGCTCATTTTGAACATTCAGCAACTAGAGCAGCAGACAGTGGAGTAGGGTTATCTGAACCCCTGCAGCCACATGCTGAGGGTCAGCCAATCAAAGAAGCTGAACCGGGAGCTGATTTTTTCCTCTGAGCTGTGGTAAATAAATCAGAATATCTGCACTGACTAAAGATGTCAAAACCTGCTGGAGAAAAATGCCAAATGTTCTATTTTGCTACTTGCAGTTTTTTACCCCAAACCTAAAAATCATTTAATATTCACTTTCAGCAGCTGGGGATCCCAGACAGTCTCACCAGCTTCAGATAGCTTTTACTGGGGAGTCCCAGTAGCGTGATGAGAAGACAAGAGCAGAATTTTTAGTAGGATCATTATTTTGATGAACTGACTGAACATGATGATGTTTTGGGACGGCCTTTCTCGCTTAAAAAGCAAAGGGAGCCAAGCTGCTCTTCAGATTGCAGCTCAACGCCTGCAGCGGCGAGCCTCCAACGCTTCTGATGCTTTTTTGACACTCCAAACTTGTTTGGTGTGACCGCATCACAATTTCACAAATAATAGAAACTAAATCTAACTTGATGCTTTAGTAAAAACATGAATCTTTACATTAAGAATTGAACCTAGAGCAGTTACATCCATCATTTACGTTTTGTTCATTACGACTTGGCCAACAGGCAGGCTGGGTGAAGAAAGTGGCGACAAACACTCTATTAACTCAAGACGTCACTTAAAATCCTTTGACCGTTTTGCAAAGCTTGAAGGAAAATCAACTCAGATGAGATTTTTAAAACCCAGCACCCCTCCAGCAAAATATCCTTCCTTTTGACCCCGCATAGCCTCTCTCTCTATCTCTAATCTCTATCTCTCTCTCATGCGCTTTCTCTCCTGTACAATTCATCTAACTGCTCACAGCCATCTTGGATTCTCTTCTGTTACTCTGACAGCAGCCATAAAGGAACAAGGCTGTTGGTTGTTGTTCTGCAGGCTACATCATGACCATAGGGCCGCCTTGCTATCAAAGACTCTGCCCCCATTGTGACGCGCTCCATTGTAATGAAAAATTAATCAGACCGAATTGACCTGTCCTGACCCATTAGATACTAATGGAAAACAGGCACCTTAGGTGAAAGATCAAGGTTAGTGTAGAACCTCCTATTGACCCAGGAGTGTTTTGAATGTGGTCTGATTTGGACTTTTGTTTTTCATGTGTTGGCCTGACGGACAAAAGTTTATGTACATTAAAATGAATCAGATTTACAACTTAAAGCAGAACTCTGATTCCAAAGAGATGCTAATGAGCGCAGTGTGCAGTCTGCACTGCATTTCTGAAAAAAACAGGGTTTTTGTTTTTAAGCTTTGATTAGGTGGTTTTTCATTTGCATTGAAATTATATTTGGTAAAACTGCAATGGAAACCCTTTTTATTTTCGTATAGCACAAGCCACGCGATCACCAACTGGACCTAACTGCCTTATAAAAAGACGAAGACCGGATGTAGTTTGAGGACGACTGCTGGAATATGGATAGATATCATGTGTTTGCATCCGCCATCCCATGTTGTTTTCTGAGTTGGTGTGAACAAACGTATTCACGTGTTGTTTTAATTGCATTTTTTATTCAATGGAAATACTGCAAATGAGGAAATTTGCATTGTTTGGAATTAGCAGAATATCGACATAGTTTAACGCACGTTTGTATGGGAAACGCAGCCAGATAGTTGATAGTGAGATTAATTAATCAGCAAATGTCGAAGGTTCTGATCAAGGGCTGCCAGGGAATCTCCCCACAGGGAAACCCTCCTAAATGATGTGAGGACAATATTAGCGCTGATATTATCCTATTTTCTTCCTCATCCTGTGACCTTCAGCATTTTGATCAAAGTCATCAGTGGGAGCCTGCTGCCCTGAGTCCATCCAGCTAGATAAATATTACATTAGCATAAAAGGCGCAGGCTTATAACCCTTGGATTATATTGGCCAACAATTATTGCTCTCCAAATATTCCTTTGAACATGAATAATGGACACAATGATATTACCATGACAAATATGCAAGCTTTGCTTCTGACACTGCAGCAGGAACTTGAGCTGGGATTTGCTTCCAGAACGATCCACACCAATAGCAGAATTCCCAGCAGGAATCGGGAAAACCACAAACCAGCAGACCACAACTGTAAATTTCACCGCATTTAGGTTACATTTACATGAAACAATATTAGGTATCCAACAGGAAAAAAAAAATCAGTGTAAAGATGAAACAGTGTAAACCTGAAAAAATAAAAGACTGACAGACTGGGCTATATGGACTTAAAATATTCTTAGAAATTGTTGTTACTATATTGATAACGATAAAAGAGATGATGAAAACACTTCCTTACTACTTTAGAATCTTTCTAAGGTGGCTGTGACTGTTAGCGTGAGCAGTCGTAGCCCCATAATCACAGATATCACTCCTAATATAAATTACACATTTAAAACTGGTTCTTCAGAGCATTAGCTACATAAAGAAGTATGATTTATATCATGTAAACGTCCAACTGTAATCACACTTAATCATATTCTTTAAATTTGTCAGTGTAAAATAAAAATAAAAATCCAAACAAACCTTTTGATAATTCACTCTTTTTTTGGGAAGTTTTAAAAACTTTTTTTTTTATTTATCTTTTAGATAACAAAATAAAAATTCTTCTAATGACTACATTTATAATGATAATCTATATGGACACTGGATACTCCATCCTGCCCTCCAGATGTAGCACTCTGTGTGCAGACGTGGCAGCATGTGTTCACCATTCTAGAAAAACTCAGCAGACCGAGATGAAACAGATGAAGTCTGAAGGGAACGGGGTTCACATTTTTATTGACTTGCACAGGACAATCAGCAGTGCTCGGAAATCAGACGATTTTTATCATGATCGGCGACCGGCCGGACATTATAAAGACAACTGATTTTAAGTGCCAGTCATTGTGTTGTTGATGGGTTTCTTTCTAAGCAGACATGTATATTCGTCCCACACTTGGTCCAAGTTTGTTTTGGTCAGAGTTGGTCAAACGGGGTGATGAATCACCCGCACAGCAGAGGTAAGGGAGAATAGTATTCTGATCTCAGGTAGGAACAGGGGAGGCCTGAGAGAGCACTATAACCAGAGGCCAGCCTGGAGCTAAGGAACCAGGTAGATCTCTGGGCAGACGGCGCATTGGAGTGAGGAGATACAACAGCTTAAGGGAAGAGCGCTGCAGAAGTCTGGATAAGTTACTGGGGCGAACTAGGCTAACTAAAGAGGTTGAAAGGAGCATAGTTAAAGATTGGATAAGAACGCTGATGGTGGGGGAGAGGATACTGCTGATTGGGAGTAGGACATCAGTACTTTAAAGTAGCCTGCGGGCAAACAGTGTGGCGGAGTGAGGGGAGAAGGCGACTTTTGGTCGGTGTCTAAGCATGACGTATGATGATGAAACAGTCATTCTAGGGTTAAATTAAAACATCATTTTTAAAAGCCACCCACAAACCTAAGAGCATTCCTGCTTCATCCTTGAACATTATTTCCTCCATCTTCCATTTTGATTAAAGGAGGCTCTTCTCCGGGGTCTCTCACTCTAAAACAGGGATCAATTCATGATACTTTCTCATTACCTACATTTTTTAATACCGTACTTGATATTACAATGTCAATGTGCATGAGACAGGAGCTTTCATTAGATAGTAATCTGTAATCGGCCGATACGTATTTTTGTGATCGGTGCTCTGCTCTCAAAATTCTTACTTAGACCATATCTAATTTTAATCGCACCTTCTAGTGTTTTAATGCAAATAAGAAGCTAAACGGGGGCCGTTCTGCGGACGATACACTTATTAAAATTCAGTGAATGAAGCCTAACTACAGAAGAATTTTGTAAACTTTCAGTCAAACCAGCAGTGGTGTTGAAATGTGGGGGACAGAATCCTGGATGTCAGTCAAAGAGCTCCTAACCTCATAATAAATGAGCACACAGGCCTAAATTTGAAACGCGTTAGTGAGAACCCAGCCTACCCGTTCGTGAATCTGATTGCCCTTAGTTTGGCGCCCCCTGCTGGTCTGTGAAAACCCACTGCTGTCAATGGGGCGCCCCCTGCCAGTCAGACTGTTCAGGCCCAAAAAGCTCCTAATAGAAATCCTCTTATTCTATTTCTAGCCGCCCCTTGTGTCTGGGTTGAGGTGGCGCCCCCTGCTGTCTTTAATTACTCAGTCTGAGGTTAATTGCTTCAGCCTGAAAGCTGCTAGATCTGATATTTCCACAGCAAGATGAGGAATGGAGGGGACAGTTCTGAACTTTCGGAGCTCCTGTACTCATCTATTATTTCTGAAAGCTTCCTCTGCTCCCCTAATGTGCTCATGAATTAATTTAAAATATAATCTGGCATCGACACTGTAACAAGACAGCATTTCTGCAGAGAGGCGGGCAGTGTCAGACAAATGGAGCCAGAAATTAACATTAGAAAACACCCGAGTAGAAAACCTGCTGGTTGGGTTTGACTGCAGGCACAGAACACAGTGAAAGCTGCTTGTTCTGTATGATGGGAGAATCTGCACACATGAAGAAGCTGCAGTTACTGAGGTTCTGTTGTTACTGTAGACCTTTTCTTACTGATGATGGAAAACCTTTTTTTTTTTTTTTTTTTTTTTTTTTTGTCTGCCTGCAGAGTCTGAACCGGGAAAAATCCTTCCAGTCCGACAGCGAGGGAAGCCAGGTGTTCCAGGGTCACAGGTGGGACACATGGATGCATTTATGCTCTGTTGCCGTGGATACAGACAGGGTGTCTGCGTGACTCAATGTAGTTCAAGCGGTGGTTCTGCTGAGGTGTTCATGGTGACCTCATATGTCATCTCAAGGCCATTTGCTGTTCAACAGATCATCCAGTCAAATTGATTAAAAATTTTCTATCCAAGTTTATTGTATCGACTCATTGACTCAAATGCAATCCCTCACATTAAGCATACTTGTAGTGACAGTGGAGAGGAAAAACTCCCTTTGAACAGTATGAAACCTCCAGCAGAACCAGGCTCGGTGTGAGCGGCCATCTGCAGAGGCCGACTGTGGTTCAAGGAGACAGAAGCAGAGATACAGAGATTTTGGGTTCTGGTGTCACCTATCTTCTTGTGAACAATAAGTTCTCTGGACCAACCATCCCATACACCTAGTGAAACACCCCTCCATTATAAAAACAGTCTCGATCATCTCCAGAACCAGCTGTTGATGTTCATCCAGGTGGACTGATGTATTGCTATGACCTGGTTCTCCGTAGGAACCTGGTCACGTGTCTCTCCGTCTCAATGGATGGGACTCTACTCCTCTCCGGGTCACACGACGAGACGGTTCGTCTCTGGGACATCCAGAGCCGACAGAGCGTCCGCTGTCTCCAACATAAAGGTAAGACCCCCCCCCCTGTGATGTCAAGTTTAGTTCTCCTTTGTTTACCTGGACCCAGCAGCCATTTGTAGAGAGACTGGTTCAGGGTCATGACCTTTAGCTGAGGCCTGAAGGGATTTTCCTCTGATTGTTGGCTTCATCTTCAGAGGATTTCCTCTGGTCTATAAGTCCAGAACTCAGGCTGAGGTTTTAAGTTCACGCAAAAAGTGAAAGATAAGCCCTTTTTTCTTGAGATAGCTTTAGTTTGCCTCAGTTTGAGCAATTAAAAGATTGTACCAATGGTGCAAGGGGATCAACATTAAAAGCAAGAAATGTATTGTTATTCGCTCGGTTCACCCCCAGCTCAGCTAGCTTTCAGGATTTTTTTTTTATCTACATTGGAGTAATGTGCACTGAACTGATCAAGAGGATATTGCAGGTCCAGCGGGTCGACCTTTTCATACTGAAATAAATGAAGAGCAAGGCTCTGATTGACTCATGGGTCAGGAAATTCTAATCTTCCCTCCTTATTCTCCCATTTCCGACGTCCTCCAGCAGAGCAGCATCCATCGTGCAGCCTTACAGCAGTATTCAAATGTTTACGGAAAACACTGCAAATTTCTCACCCCTGTTTAAATGTATGTAGTCAGAGGAATCTGATGGTGAAAAAAACATTTAAATGTTGCCCAGACGCTTTAAGGATTTGAGCTGCTTGACAGGTCCTCGTGTATAGTTATTGTTCACCAATGCAGCACGAATTACATGGAGATATTAGATGTTTATAAAGACTTCATACTATATAATCTGCCCCCTTTTTTTATTTTATGAAAAAAAAAAAATCAAGATTTTATAAAAAGTAAATACAGACTAAATTCACAAAAAACACTCCATGACTAAATGTCACATTACAATAATAATATGTCGTGGTAAAAAGTTGCAAACTGATTATTCAATCATATGTGGAGGAAGACTTAAAAGGCTGCCATATTGTATAGAAACAATCTAGTTGACTCCTCAGTGAATAGGTTACCCTTTCCAAATGTATGCAGCTATTCACTTTAATTGGGACTGAACATCAGAAGCTGCCCTTTTCTGACCCTAGACCTGAACAGGTCCCGGATGGAGGGAAGGTCAGAGCTGTTAGAGATGAAGCATCCAAGGAAATGAGAAGCAGAAGTGCATGAAGCACTTGTTGCTCTGTGGAGGTTTGGATCTGAATGGACTTCTGTTCACACCTTCTGAGTCTTTCAAACGATGCATCTGATCACCATAAAATTGGCTGATCTTTTAGTAGCAGAAGAACTAAAGCCAACTTAAGTGATTATTTTATATTCAAACTCTAAAAATGTTGTGAATGGACTGGAAAGCCAGGAATACCTTCATGTCACCCACATCTACTAGGGCGCCATTTTTTTATTGCAGTTTGATGGATTTAGTTTGGAGACGACCTTCTTACTTTGAGGCTGATAAACAGCAACATCTCCAAAACTGAAGTTTTTTTTTTCTTCTATCCAGTGTTTGTTTCTGTTTCTAATCATCTGACTTGCTCAGGTCCATGATGTCCAAGCTGTCATTTTGGGTGCTAATGGTTAGGAAATGGACATCAAAGGATAAGACTCGTCATCCTGACATAAGCTCCATCAGCAGTTCTTTATTTTTAATTTTTGTATATATTTTCTATGCTGTTCTACAGCTCTTTGGTTGTAAAGTGATTTGTGAAAAAAATCTGATTATTTTTGTATGATTGTTTGGATCTCCGGCTGCTGGATCCAATCTGACAGCAGAGTGGGAACAGCCAGTTGGCTTTGGAGACTTTAGAAAACATGGCTGACCAGAACCATGTTACAGAACTCCCTCAACCTGTAAGGATGGAGGAGAGTTGGACCGGTTCCTCAGGGTTCTAATCTTTACCACATGGTGAGGATTTCCTGAACAGAACCTTTAAGGTTCTAAAACTGAATCCGATCCAAGCTGTTGGAGTGGACCAGAACTATTTAGGGTACCAGTTACCTGGTGCTTCACCCCAAGGACTGATAACGCTCCACTAGATCCAATTAAGTATTCTGCTCTGGTTTATACCACAGAAAATGGATAAGTCTGATCTGTGCAGTCCACTGGCTGAATTATCTGGACCAGAACCACTTTAGGACCACCAGTAGAATTTCAGTAACAAGGACAGTGGTAATGAACCGGCCCCTAAGGCGTCAAGTCTGCTCTGTTGTGGTGGTCAGCCCACAGTGAAGAATTTATGGTTCTGGATGGAGAGAGGCGACCGGGCCAGAGGCTGCTGTTGAACGGGATTCCCAGTGACACAGCACCACCAGTGTACAGCGGTCTGAGCAGCTCAGACAGCAAAATAATATTTGAAGGCAGGACCCTAATCTTGATAAACTGGCTGAACAGATGAAGTTTTCAGGTGGACATTCTCACTTAAAAACATATGAAAACTACTTTTTACCCACTGATAGCAGCATATGTAGCTGCCATTGTTACAGGCAAAAAAAGGCTAGGGTAGCTCCTCCCAACGCACATCATACCCACTTTTCCAACGCGCAGCTAGAGCTTCTGCAGCATGCAGTCTGGACGTAGCATTAGGGGGTGGTTTGGGATTGGGCCTAACTGTTGGTCCCATGTTGAGTAATTCACATCCTCCAGAACAAGCAGTTCCCCATTAAACCAGAGGGTGGCAGCAGTGATGCTTTCAAGTGGAACATCCAACAACTAAGGCTACGTTCAAACTGCAGCCTGAAGTGACCCAAATCCGATTTTTTTTGCTCATATGTAATCTGGATCTGATCTTTTCATGGCTGTCTGAACAACACGGATCCGATTTTTTTATTTTTTTTTTCCCCAATAGGCCACTTGGCTATGTGGTCCTGGATCCGATACGAATCTGATCTTTTCAGATGCGACCTGTGTCTGAACGATTAGGTCGCATTCATCCGACCTGAACGCCATTAATACCCAACAAAGGTCACTATTCTGGGTCTTGCTATGAAGAAGCGGCAACAAAAACAACAGCTATGGCAGACGATGATGTGGAGAGCAGTATTTATGTTTAACCATCTTGAAAAGACTTAGTTTTTATGTTTGGGAAAGATCGCTAGATGCGCCCCTGCATCACCATCCATGTTTACTTCCGTAGACACAGTACACACTGGCCTGTGACGTCATTGCATCCTCTACTGCGCATGCGGGATGCTTGCGTTGTATGACTGCAGTTCACACAGGAGATCACATAGAAGTCGCATATATTTGGAAATGTGAACGGCAACGCAAAAAAATCGTTTTCACAAAAGAATCGGAATTGAGCATCAAGGCCTGCAGTGTGAACGTAGCCTAATTTGACATTTTATTATATACTTCAACAAAATAAACAACCCTTTCAATTCAAAAAGCCTCTTTTCTCCTAAATTATTGCATAAATAAACAAATAGTGTTTTTAATCCATAATTTCAGTTATTCAACAATCAGATTGGATTAAAGTGATAATAATAATAATAATCCTTTTTTAGAAATCCCAGATATTTTATCTAAATTCTTTTAAAAACTACGTTTACAAGTGTGAACTGAACAGTACAGGAAAATTAATTGCAGCCCAATTCCTCCTGAATAGGCTAATAACATGCATACAACATTGTCTGTAATAGTTTTACTTTGCTGTAAACAGAAGATTACGTTTTGTTTCTAATATTTGCATAAAGCATTGTCATTCAGGGGTTAACATTTGCTATTCAACATTTAGAACATTTAAAACATATAAACCAATAAGGCTTCTTTTTCTCCTTAAGCCATTTACCAAGAGAAACAATCCATGTTCCAACTTGTTTATCGGGGAGTTGTTTAGATTTTCAGACGTAAAGTTGGCTCTAAAGCTTATAATCTGTTTCAATGTAGCTGGCTGAAGATTTTATGCCTCTCTGTAGATGCTTCAGTTAACATCTGGGCTGCTAACGCAAAAGTGGCACTGAAGTGGTTTTTAATACTTCCAGTGGACCAATGCTCGGGTTACTGCTTGTGGGTCAGATTTCAAGGTGTACAAAACAGTGATTACAAAGGTTCCTAATTGGAAATATAAGAGTAATTTATCAAAATTAAGATGTAATGTAAATATGATGTCTATCTAATTAGCAAGGGCTTCATAGTGATTTATTTGGAAAGTTGGATGTCTTGCTCATTCATTATCCTGTTGGGATCAGTGGTGATTATTGACACTGAGCTGCTTCTAGCATCTGTTAGTTTTCGTCCACTCCTATGAAAGTCCTTTGGCTCCGCCACAGGAGAGGACGCAGTGGACAAACTGGACGCTAAGGGACTGAGTCAACTTCAAGCATGGATTTAAGATTAAAAGCTGTTTGGGTCTAGGTTGAGGTTTTTTAGAAGTAAATGTTTCTGTTTTTTTGAAACAAACTAGAAAGATGTATTGTTTTAGAAAACTTGTGATTGTAGTTTTTTGGTATATGATATTAAGTTATTTAAAAAAGCATTCTTTTATATGTGATATACTAATAAAACCAGTAACATACAATGAGAATATTAAGTATAAGTTCATCATTAATATTGCCCAGTGTTTACTGAGAGATTCTCCTTTGGTTGATTCTTGCTTTTATTTTTATTACTGTCATTTTCAGGCCTCTTGGATGATTATTTTTAAGCTGGTTATAAGAAGCTAAACTTATCAATATCATCTATAACTTCAATAAAACCAATGGACTGATCGATAAACCAACCAATGCCCTGATCAGTAACCTATTTACAACTTTGTACGAAGCAAAATGCCAATGAATGAACAAATCCAAGAACGATTCCCACTGTGACATCACTTCCTGTCATGTGTTCAGGTCCCGTGACAAACGCGATCATCATGTCTGTGTCAGCGAACATGTTCCTGCCTGACAGTCGGCCTGCCGTGCCGCTGCCGCGCTTCAGTCGACACCTCCTCACCGCCGAGGGGAACGACGGTGAAGCAGGGGAGGTTTGTGTTCGCCCCGCCCTTCACATACAGGTGAGCGTGCAGTTGGATTATCTTCTATTTAATTGTAGTTTAATGATTTTATTCTGGATTTCATTTAAACCTAAGTTAAAGTTTTAGTTCATTTTGATTTGAGTTAGATTTATTTTACAGTTTATTCTAAGTTTTTTGTTATTATCATGTTTTCATTTTGACAGCAGGTTTATTTGCTTCACATTTGGAAGGTGAAGCTGATCTTTAGTTTGGTTAAGTTAATTCATTTGGATGAATATTTTATGTCTTTGTACATTTTTTAAAAGTAGCAATAACCTGGAATTATACATATACAATCCTTCTGAAATTGTCTTTAAATTCATTGAATGATTTTTTTTTAGGAAGAAAAAAAATTAACGAGCATTCAGACCCTTTTTATACACCTTTTTTTTTCTTGCAAGGTATCAGAATTTGAGCTGTGTGTATGAGCCTTCTTGTGGATGTAGCGTTAGCAACATTAGCAGTTAGCCATGGTTTGTTTACTGTAGCTTCCTATGCGATAAAAGTTACACAAGCAGCAACACGTGTTGACAGCGTGCAGGTGGGAGCCTGATTGGTGGAATAGAGACAGGAGTGGAGATAGCAAGGGGCGCTAATGTTAGCACTCTCCACTATTGATGTCAGTCAAGGAGGAGGACCAAAATGGTGCCTTGTGGCGAGGGCCCTCTGGTGGATTGGCCATAAAGAGCAACATGCAAAAAGCGAAACAAGCCACTACAGATTTTCGCACAGGTTTTAATCGAAGATGAGACGATGTGGCTCTTTACAAGGAACTCCATGAGGAACACTGTGTTGGTTCAAAGTCATCTATCTCATTCCAAAACACTGAGGGAGGCTGTTTAACTTACAGCAACAGTGCAGTACTGCCAGCTGCTTTTAGGGTTTATTGTTTATTTATTTAGATCCCCATTAGCTACTGAGTCAAAGCAGTAGCTGTTCTTCCTGGGGTCTCAAAGCTGAGTAACAATGAAACCAAATACAAAAATACACACACAGCAATACAACTTCATAAACATATATATATAACATACACATAACATAGTATAAGCTATTCTATGTACAAAACATGACCAATCTCTGGGTATTATGTAAATTACAAAACATTTCAGTCACTAGTGCTCATTATGAATTACTTATTTCCATAAACGTTGCAGTCACTCCAAAGTTAATAAATATAGTCTAAGCCTTTTGGAAAAGCTACCATTGTACATCTCTGAAATCAAGAATTAATGTACATGGGTTATGAGACCTAATTTTATCTTTAATTGTCTTAAAAGATAAATCATTGTTTGACTTAAAAGTTGTATCTTTTTGTAAATTCTTAACTTTCTTTGTAAAGTAGTCTCCTAGATAATTCGCCATATCAGCAGGTTTAGTCATAAAAATGTCCCCAGCATCTAAAAATGTTGGTACAGATTCAGCTCTTCGTCCTGTTAATTGGTTTAATATATTCCATAATTTATTCCGGTCTGAGTTTACTTCCTCTAATTTGTATTTGTAATACAGCCTCTTTTTTGTTATGTTTAATTTTGTAACATAATTTCTTAATTGGTTGTACCTTTCCCATAATGCATTATCCTCTCCTGAGTGTGCCTCTGACTTTAATTGATGTTTTTAAGTTTAAGGGTGGGCTACACCTGGAAGTTACAGCAACATGTAAAGCATTTCTTCAGAGAATCCTCCTCCAGATCAAACTTCTGAGGGAAAGTGTCTAGTGTAGGAATAAAATGGAGATGAAAAGCCATTTCATCTCCATTTTGAAAAAAACAAACAGGAAGATGACATAAGATAAAAAGATATAACAGAATGAACAATGTTGAGATAATCATAATCAGGAACAAATATGTTTTTGGATATCTGAGATCTAAACTCACTTTGCAAAGGAAGAGAAACCTCTTTAAAATACACGCAGACACATTGTGTACCTGCCTGAGGTACCAGGATTCTGTACATGGTTGCATCTCAGCAGTCAGCCTGCTGGACCTCTGTCTGTTTCACTCAAGTCTTGTTTTAGAGAGAAAGATTTCAGATCAAGGAAACGGAGCAGAAAAACAAACCTGAGATAAAACATGCACTAATTTCCCTTATAAACGTCTTTAAAACTAGCCCCAAAGGTCAGTTTACTGTCGATAACTGCATTCATCTGCAGATATTTATATGTGTAACGCGTCCACGGTCTGACCCTTTAAAAAAGGTACCTCCCCTCCCTGAGGGAGTTTTCTGACATCGATTAGCAAGGCCTTGTTCTTTGTTTTATTTATGTGAAAAAAAAATCGATTCATCACACCACTGAGCAAAGTTGTCAACCACGGGGCTGATTCATCTACGTACTCTCTGATAAATCTGTCCTCCTGCTGCAGCCATGCATGTTTGTGTGGAGGATAGAAAAAGGAGGTGACACAACCATCCCTGCAGGAAGCCGTTCAGTCTGAGGTCCACCTCACATTAAAACCTGACCTGAGAGACCATCTAGTAAACTGGGTCGGCCTTTCTGTCTCAGCACTTGACTGGTTTAAATCCTGCCATATTGGCTTTATTGTTTACATCACAGATCACAAAAATCATGTGGCGTTCTCCAAGGGTCCGTCTTGGGGCCCCAACTATTCAGTATTTACATGCTCCCATGAAATCAGATTGTATTCAGTCCAATTTTCTTTTCTTTTCTTTCTAAATCATGTTATTCATTTTATAATCATCTTATTTGGAATTATTCATTCACTAGAATTCATGTTTGACCTTTTGTCTAGTTTGTTTTTTTCATGTGTGTTGAACTGTCTCTTTACTAAAATCTGCTATATAAATAAACTCACGTTACCAATTCAAATATAAAGCTGAATGGTGTTTAAAGCAGATGAAAAACTGATCATTAAAAGCCACCCATGAGTTTCCTTGTCCTCTGCATGTTTAAAAAGCAGGTTCATAAGTTTAACTTTAGAGTCAAAGCTCCATCAGCGTTATAGATCTATGCCTCACGCTGTTGCTAGGTGACAGAAGTAACAGCGAGGTAAGGGCTGGGTGGGCGGATGAGGACTAGACTGTCCCAATTCCCAGCTGATGGCTTCCAGCCTTCATAGTTCCTGCAGTCATTTAGCCCCACAGTTTGGACACGTCCTAATGCCTATTTTTTGTTTGTCGATGTCTGAACCAGATTTAAATTTACTTCTCTTTGCCTTAAAACTGCATTCTGTAGATTTTCTAACCCAAATTTTTTGACCTGTCAGGTTTCCTGACTGTGTTTCGGTGCTTATATTTTTACCTACTTCCTGTTTTCAGGAGGAAGAGGAATCCTACCTGCAGAAAGCCAACAGGTTGTACTCCCTTATGTGCGCCGTGAACGACAAGGTGAGCGGGGGCTGCGCTTCAGGAGTTTAGTGTTCCGGTTCTGATCTGTTGAAGCTCTGTTTCTGTTCCCCCTATGATGAATTAAAAACGGCATAGATGCTTGTATATCAGGTTCTGAGCCGCTCTCTGATTTGTTGCAGACGGTGGTCGGTGACGGTGAAAACACGAAGGCTCGGGTTGCAGAGCTGGAAGAAGAAGTTCAGAATCTGAAAAAGGTCAACAAGGATCTGTTTGAGTTTTCTTCTCAGCTGCTCACCAAGCCCACATAACCACAAAGACTCACAAAGAACTACACGGACCCACAGAGAACCACAGAAAACCACACAGACACACACTGACACACGCATCTTTTGTTACAAAATAAAAAATGTTTAAAAAAAAAAAAAAAGCTGTCTGACTTTTTCCTTCAGACTTTCTTAGTGCTTCCTCCCCACCTAACCAACAGTAAACTAGAAACTAAGCTGTTCTGGCTTTACAGGTTAGAACCCTTCATCTATGGTTCATTCCAGGTAATAAAAACTTAATTTCAGTTATAAGTCTCTGGCTTTAAACTAAGCACTAAATACCAATCAGACCGACGGTTTGGTGCCAGCCTGGTCTTAGGCTAGTTTCTTTTTTACCATCTTTGACCATTTTTAGACGGGTTGCCTGGTTTTGGTTTTTTAACACAGTGGAATCAAATAAGTGGCTCATTATCGGGCCTTTGGCAAACCTGATGGCATGCTGAGGAGGTAAGAGTCACTTGAATTAGCTGTGTTGGAGCAGGGATGCACAAAAACCCGTAGGAGTGTGGAGGTTGAGGAACAGGGTTGGAGACACATGATCTAGATCAGGGACGTCAAACTGGTTCCAGAAAGGGCCGTGTGGCTGCTGGTTTTCTTTACAACCAAGCAATAGCACACCAGACTCCATTCACCTCATCAAGTCATCATGTTAAGACTGGACTCAGTTAATGAGAGGACTGGAGTTTAAGGGACCTTTAACATCAGTTTAAACAAATTAACCTATAATAGGCATAGGTCATATGCACTGACAATCGTGATGACGATAAAATTGAGGATTAAAATGATTAAATAAAAAAACTTCTTTGCAGTCTCTTAGGTAATTGTTTGGCTGTTGCTGCGTACCACAGCAATCATAGGCCCAACATTACAAATTATACTCTTGAAGAATATATGTTTAAATTTGGCTTCTTCAGAGCGATAGTTACATAAAAATATATGATTATGTCAGTAATAAACACATTCTGAAAAATAGGAAAAAAATTGCACAAAAAAAAAATTCTGACAAATCACCAAGTTTCTGAAAATTTTATAATGCATTTTTTGAATGATAATTTACTAGAAACTTACCATGATAATAATAAAATAAATGCCAGCCCCTACTATGTTGGATATAAGTTGTTATAAAATTTTTTACAATATATTAAATATATTTAAAAATTTTCTGTAAAAAAAAAAAAAAAATACCATAGACGTCCTCTTCAGGCAGTTTAATTCAACATAAAATTCGTTTTAAACTCTATTCTAATGTTTTGCCGATAATGTTAATGTGAATTCTCCTGAAACCAAGAAGGAACCTGGAGAAAAACATGAGCAGCAGCTCCTTCACTGCCTCTAAGATGACTGAATAAGCTTCTCATTAAATATAAAAAAAAGCAATGTGAGTTTCTGTTTACCTTCTCATTATAAAGATTATTTGAAGTAACAGTCAATTATCTCAAAGCCCTTTAGCTCTTTACTTATGAGGGTCAATAAACACAGTTCCACACTGTGAACTAGAACAAGTCGGCAGTTACTTTCTAAAGAAATGCTCTGATTAGTTCATTAGAACGGTTCTCTTCGGTGACGTCAATTTCACCGATCATTATGCTGCTGTGTTGTGGTTCATTAACTGAATTAACAGTTGTTATTCCTCAGAGTAGTTGCAGCACACTATTAGGCAAAGCATCAAGTGCCACTGCATATTCCCTGGGGGTAAGAGGAAGTTTAAACTTGGATGGAAATATATTGTTTGTCAGGAGATTTCCATTGACATTTAGAAGCTGAACCACTAATAAATTACCATTTTCCACCCGGTTTTTAATGTAAATTGACCTTTTCTTATAAATGATATTTTCATTGTTTCATATTTAATATGAAGTTGGGGGGGAAATGATGTTTGTATGCAAGTTTCCATGCCAAGGGGGCTTGTTGAGGAAAAGCAGGCAATTTTAGCAATTTTATAATTACATTTTAGCAAGAAGTCCACTCATTAATTTTAAGATATGTTTGGTAAAAGTGTTCCAGATTGTTGCATTTTCTTTTAATAAGTTTGTTAAATGTCTCACTTTAAAGGAAACATTTAAGCATTGGATTTTTTGTTTTTATATAAAACCAAAAACTATTTTATCAGCTTTTTTAGATTCACCTTTAGTGTTTCTAATGATAAAGATGCTAATACCTGGAAACTCCCTTAGCATAATATTCTACCATTTAGTGACAGCTGCCTTAGCCTTTCTGTTCGACTGTGGGACCAAAATTAAATGAGTTACATAATGTATTTTCCAAATTATTCCATAACATGTAATATTATGTTTCACTGGTATTACTTGATGCAAATTGGATTCTTTAAGGAGAAACAAAACAGATTTATTCAAGTTGATCTTTAATCCCGACTTCAAGCAACTGCCTTACTCGCCTCATGCACATTAGATATGAAAAACACAATGTCATCAGCCAACAATTTTAATTCATTCTCCATTGCAAAGTACCATGAAAAGGTCCCTTTTTCATATGTGGTGCCATAATTTGTGTTACCAGAAGAAAAAGAAATGGGCTTAATGGGCGGGCTTGTCTAATCCTGCGTCTGATTTGTCTAATCTTTCAAATCAGATTGTTGTTCTCTAATAATATCTAGTTTTAGCCTTTTAGCAAAATAATCTCAGCATCATTATTCATAAGACTAATTTGTGTCCAATGTTACGAATTGAATTTATTTTTTGTAGGTTTTGGAATCAATGTAATTAAGCTTTGATGATGAGGTGGAATTTGTTCTCCACTGTTGCCTCTTTAAACAGTTTGATTATTAATAATTGATATAATTTACAGATTATTCTGTCATTTCCAGGGCAGTTCTTATTTCTAACACAGCCAATGGATTAACAGCTTAAACACAGATTCCCTCGTCACCGGTTTTTATGAAGTTCTCATAAATGCAATTAGCTTCCTCTTGTTTTTTTTTAGCTTTCCTTCTTAATGGGGGAGTGGCAGCCTAGTGGTTAGGGCATAGAGCTTGGAATACTGAGGTTCTGAGATCAAGCCCCACTCCCACAGACTGTCACTCTGGGTCTCTGAGCAAGACCCTTAACCCCCTTTTTCTCCCCAGGCGCCCCACAATGGCAGCCAACTGCCATCCCTCTCTGGGTTAAATGCAGGGGTTAATTTCTCCAACATGAGTTCAATAAAGTTCAATTATTTTTATTGTTTGCCACTAAGAAATGTTTCCATGTCATTTTCATCCTCTGGGTCTCATTTTATAGTTTTTGGTAAAAATGTGTCACTTTTATTGTAATGTTGGGTGTTCTTTCAGCTCCTGTTCAGTTAATTTTTTTTTCTAAGATAGCATCATTATATTGGTAACTATTTTGGTTTCTCTCTTTATTTTTTAGGACCAGTCTTTTTTTCCATTCTTAAAACATATTTCTAACATCAAATTTTAACAATTTCCAACATTTTCCAAACTGATTAAACAGAATTGCCTGCATCCAATACTTGATGAGTCTCAATTTTTCAGTTTTAAAATCTTTGTCAAATAGTGTTATTTAATTTCCAGTATTCTTATCCTGCATTTGTCTGCCTAACTTAATATCAATCTTAATAATGGCAGCTTTGCGGTCTATTAGAATGGTTCCTTCAGCTGAGGTGTCAACACCCTTATCTTAACTATCCGAAGAGCTGAGCCACAAATCAATGCAAGACTGTTGAGTTCTGTCTCATTGCTCCATGTTTTTATCCAAGCGTCTACTGCTGCAAATATCCATTATTCTCATTCTGTTACAAATAGGATTTAATTCAGCTGGAGGTGGATTTCTGGGTGGAAGTCTAAGTTATCCTCCATCATTGTATTAAAATCACCACATAAGATTTTAGCTGCAGGGAATTAGATTAGCATTTCTGTAATTCTTGCTCCCAGATTAAAAAATTAAATGATTGTTTTGCTGTTTATTGTTAAATCCATATGTGTTAACAACTAGAAACTAGATGACATGCATAAGCAAACCTTTAACATCTGCCATAGAATAGCTGCTCAGGCTTATTTTCTATTTGCTAAAAAAACTAGATCTGTTGACCCCACTGATTCTTCAATAATGATTCTGAATCATGCTTTCTGAATTAAATAAAAAACCAGCACCCTTGTTTTTACAGTACAAAAATAAAACTTTCCTCTTTAAATTATTTCTAACACCCCTGGCTTTACCAAAAAGAATAGAAGTGGACATTTGTAAAAAAAATAGTTCACACATGTCCCTAAAGAAGAATGACAGTAAATGCCTTCGACTGATCATTGCGTCCTGGTTACTCTGCCACAGGGATATGTGTCTGGTAGGCGTACATGACTTTCACCTGGTCAGTGAGATTTGTTTCGCCCCACCAGTAATCATATTTTTATTTCAATTCCATTGATATAGAGATTTCTCGGTCTGCAGCTGTCATGTCCTCTTTAAAGTTCTGAACAAAAACCTTCTGGTCACGGGCCATGGTGGTGGATTCAATCTTTCTACACATTGGTGAAGGTTGCCAATCCTGTACAAGACATCTATTGCTGCCATCCCCATCCTGGCATTCCATATCTGGTAGTGCAGCCTTACAGATGTCCTGAATTTCCTTTTAAATATTTCCCTCTTTGCTGCTTCCCGGAACGCCATGTATTTGGAGGTCGAGTTATCTGCATTAATGGTCTGCCTTAATGACTTTGTTCTTGAGATCGTTCACTTTTCCCCAACAGTTCACACTGTTTCTGAAGTGCAATGCTTTGATTTTTAGCACCATAACTTCTTGACGGTAGAATTCTGGTGATTTCTTCAATCCCTCCATTTGTAGAGTGTTGTCAGTTGTGTCAGTTTGATCTGCTCTCTCATTGATGTTCTGAGTGACTGCGAAGGTGATGGTGTTCTCAACAAATCGGCTTATATCGAGTTTCACTCCTTGCTTTCTTGTTTTACTGGTTTGCTAGGTGAAGAAAAGGAACCCCTACCATCCTGTCCAGCATCCATGTCCTCCAGTTGAGTCGTCTTTGTTTTTCCAGTTAGCCATCCCCAATCCTCCTGCAATTCAGAGGTTGAAGTGTGGTTGAAATATTTACTTAGTACCCTATCTTGCT